TGGTACCGGGCTTGTTACCGTGACTGAATCAGCCAACGCCGGGGCAGTGAAGATCCGAGTTGACCCTCAAGCCCTTGATGCAGCGATCTATGCTAAACTGAGTGAACAAGTTAGGGACACTTCGAGAGATACCGATGACGATGACCTTGGAGAGGTCGGAGAGGACCCGACGAGGATGTCGGGGGGTCCCGGAGAAGGTGGTGGTGAGCCCGAGGATCCTGAGAAAGGCGTTGAGGGATCTGCCGAGTAGGACTGCTTTATTCCTTTTGTTGCTTTTATGTGTTTGCTTTTGCGTTGCGTGGACCATTCGGTCGGTGCATTTGTTCTAGTTTGGACTTTGTAATTCGGACGGGGATCGTCTAGTCGACACGTCCTTAGTTTTTCGTGTTTTTATTGTGTTTGCAAGAATCTTCCCCGGGTTTTCAAGTAATGTATTTTGTCTTTTTAGTTTATGTTTTCCGCCTTCCTTTACTTACCGAACATTTTTGTTTTAAAATGGGAGGTCGGAAATAAAACTTGAAAGGGGTCCGACCTCCTTTGCGGCAGAACGGGTAAATGTTTTGCTCAGCCTCGGTCATAAATTAAAGTAATATAAAATAAAAAAATAAAAAAGGAAAAGTTTGTTACACTGATTTCGTTGGGCATGAATGGAATTTCATTGATCGTAACATTTGTTAAAAGAAATTTGATGAAAAGACATCCTCGACCTCAAGGCACTTTTTTCAGATTCACAAGTTTTCTTAAATACAAAAGATTCAGATACCAGGACTCTACAAAAAAAAAAAATTCGTTTTACAAGGACTACCTTGGTTACAAGGTGTTTTCTGGAAAGATAATGCAAGGATGCTTGTCTTACTTGAAAAATTTTTTAGCTGGTCGACACTCTTAAGTTTTGCAATTTCGCCCGGGGAGATTTCTTCAACAAGTTCAAGTTGCAGCACAATGGCCGTTTTTTGCAGAACGTCGGTGCAGAGACCGACTAGTGGCGCGGAGGCCGGTTTTTGCAGAACGTCGGTGCGGGGACCGACTAGTGGCGCGGAGGCCGGTTTTTGAAGTACGTCGTTGCGGAGACCGACTAGTGGCGTGGAGGCCGGTTTTTGCAGAACGTCGGTGAGGAGACCGACTAGTGGCGCGGAGTCCGGTTTTTGCAGAACGTCGGTGCGGGGACCGACTAGTGGCGCGGAGGCCAGTTTTTGCAGAACGTCGGTGCGGGGACCGACTAGTGGCGCG